AAATCCAACTATGTTTGGGACTTTCTTGGGACAGAAATCTAACTTTTGAGATGCATTTGTAACAAAGAACCAATGGAATAAAAAAGAAAAGGTAAAATGTAGCTTGTTTCAAAGAGGTTCTATTTTAGGAAAAAAACAAGTCACGCACATTGCTGTCAGGTGTAGCTGCAGCAGTGTATTTAATGTGAAAGTTTTCTGTCAAAGTTCACTTAACGCGAATCTTTGAGAGATGCAACCCACCCACTGCTCAAAATGGGGAGGCTCAGAAATGTCCCAAAGAAAGCAAAATAAAAAGAGGCGAGGGAATCATCAACAGAGACAGATGCTGGTTCCCACTGTGAAGCAGGCGCCATAAACAATATGATATGTTTTTAGATATGAGCCAAGATGCTTTCCTGTTACCTGTGTTTCAGCACTGTAAATATCTTGTAAGAAATGTAACAGAAAATATACTGCAAGACAGATATTCTGTTTTTGTCTCTATTTTTGCCTAGTCCCAATACCAGGAGTGGCTGCTGTGTATTTGCAGCCCTCAGTGTGGCAGTGGCAGAAAGCACCTTGAACTGGATTCAGGTCTGTCACAGACAGATTCACTTAATGATAATCCAGTTTGTTTCCATGCTTTCGAGCTGGACCTCATGTTCAATTCTTCACTAACTGCTACCAGATCTTTTCCTTTAGGGATAGCAGATGGGAACAAACAGCCATGTGATAGAATCTTTAATTTCTGTGAAATAAGCATTTATTCCATTACTGGACTGCATCATTAAATGGGGTCAACAAAGCATCTTTACAGCAGTAAATGTACAATGATTCATGGTTTCCCCTGACTGGCATTTTTGCCAGAATCTCCTTGAAGCAACTTGAAAATCCTGCTTCTTAGCATTACTAAACTCTTCCCACACCGTAGTTTTTCCTGCGTGAGTCGAATGCTACTCTGCCTGCCTGTACTTGCATGCCCCCTCCTCCGGGGTCCTACATCCTTATCGAGCTCTGTAGGACTCCTCCTTAGGCTGGATTAACCATTCAAAATAAGTTTCTCACCTCTGGATCTGGCAGTATCATCTATCTTGTGCCTGTTGCTCTTTTTGAATACATCAATTGCAGAAAATATTCCACTTACTGTCACCAGCATGCCTTTGCATATTGGAACTTTGCTCAGAGGTGGGTTGTATTTAACATCTCCAACAAAGATGCCCCTGCTATGTTCTCAGCATTCTCTCACTAAGAACCTGGAGACATAACTTCTATGTCTTCAGTCGCCAGCGCATTCATGCAGATAGTGTTTTGCAATCATCAGTGCACTATGTTCTGCATATGTTGGATGTTCTCCATTTTGCTTGATATCAACAACCAGATTGTACAGAACTTGAGAAACTGTAAAGGTAATTGAATTATCCAGGTGAATTAAAACAGGGAAACACATGGAATATTCAGGATATCGTGCCCATGATACTACACAAGGAATACAAAACATGACATTCATTGATGTTGGGAATCATGGTGTAACGTCCACTTAGAGGTTTAAATAGGACATGTGTTAATGGACTACTTATAACAAAAAAGAAATTCAGAAACAAGTTTTGGTGACTTAAACTTTAGGTCATTCTTAACCAAACCCACAGATTCCAAGAAAGCTTCTTACTTTTGTCTCGACCTTTCAAAAATAATAAAAGATACAGATTTCCTTCACCAAGGAAGAGGAATAAGTAGCCACTCAGTCAGTTGGCTACTACTCTGAGATAATGGGTCTTAGTTAGCAGCACACCCTACCTTGCCATCTCTCAATGGTGATCTTTGAGTGAAACAGAACCCATTTCAGACTGGCTCCATAGCATATGTTGGATGTTGAAACAAGCTTGTCTCTCTCTATCCATCTAACACCTGTCAATACCACTGAAAACCTGTCTATTTTTGTTCTGGAAAATCTCTGCAGTAGGTTTCAGTGCATGCAGATTGGTCCAGCTAGAACTCTGCTTGTAATGAAAGCTAATCCGTGTTGCACTGTGACTAAATGTTTTTTTTTTCAATGTCCTCTATTAAATTTATCTGTGACTGCAATTTTTAAGTGAAAATAGAATTTTTGTTAAGTGGAAATTATTTTGTAGTGTGTTGTTCCCACTGAAATGTCACGGATGAATGCTGCAGCAGTTGTTAATCAATCTCGTTTAATCAGTTTCATTCACATACTTTAGAATGCACCTATCACAGCAGACTGCAGTCTTTCTCACCTGGAAAATGTAGGGATCTGGAAAACGCTCCATCGAGCTCTCCCTCTACACATGGTGTTGATGCTAATATGAATCTAATGGTTGATTAGACAGCTTTGTACAAGAGTGTTCAGATATCCTCTTCTAAGACGTTGAACATGAATCCTGGTTTGCTTCATTGATTTTATTTTTTTTCCAAGTATCACCACAGCAGAGGAAACTAACGTTAGTCCTGTCTGTCTCTGTAATCTTCTTTGCAACCTGTCCTCTGTGTTATTGCAAACAGGAAAGTATGTAACACACTACACATCGGTGCTCCTGCTTTGTTTTTGTCTTAAATCCAGCAGCCAGTTGGTTGCAAAGCCTGTCAATGGTGGTTAACCCTTAGATAAGCTTGCTATTACTACCTCAGTTGGCAGATCAGTGGCTCGACAGCAGAGAGTGACTTCATCCCCTCTGACTGCATTGGTTCTTTCAGAAAATGCACAGAGGTATTTCAAGGTGTCCAAGTCCTGGCTTACAGGTATTCTTTTTCTGAAAGATACTTATGTTTTTAAGGAAAATAAACATGATTTTGTCTGAACATTGTCTGGATATCACATAAGAAAATTGACCACATTCTTAAAATGATAATTCCAACTGTGATAAAAAAAAATGCATAACAAAAAACACGGTGCCCTATTTTTTCTTTCTATCAAAATTGTTTTAAGATCAGAAAAGATGGATAAATAAAATGGAAAATATGAACATTAGGGGATTTGTTATATTATTTAATGCTAAATGTATACATATTTTTCTGCCACCCTTTTGATAACAAGCACTCAAGATACTGATAATTGTCTTATGAGGCTTGCACATAGAGTGCTTAAAGCCTCTCCATTATTAGTAAATATGAGAATACTGTTATTTGCATGAAATTTTCAGGACGGAAAGATTAGATGTCTTCTTCTGGTTTACCCCTCATTTACTCTTCCCACCTCAGCTGGGCTCCACAGTCATCCAGATGGAAAGGTTGTGTGTAAATGGCACATACGGTTGACTATTTGGTCCATGTGCTGCATTCATCACCACAACACTTATCTACAGAAAGTTCATCTGTCCCTAGCAGTACAGTATAGGATATATATATATATATATATATATATATATATATATATATATATATACACTGCTCAAAAAAATAAAGGGAACACTCAAATAACACATCCTAGATCTGAATGAATGAAATATTCTCATTGAATACTTTGTTCTGTACAAAGCTGAATGTGCTGACAACAAAATCACACAAAAATCATCAATGGAAATCAAATTTATTAACCAATGGAGGCCTGGATTTTGAGCCACATACAAAATTAAAGTGAAATGTTCCCTTTATTTTTTTGAGCATATAAAGCCACTAGTGACTGATCTACCATGACCATGCCAACACTGCTGCAGTGCCTTATGTAATCTAAGTGAAACACACCATCAGCACTATTATCTGGTCTCATGCTGCCAAGTCGATGGCTGAATAATATTAGGGACAGGCAGGTATTTTTTTTCATTAGCATGCACAGCAGTCCCTTAATACCTTCTTTGTTTACCCTCTCTAAATGTTTAACCTCTTGCCTCTACCTCTATACCCCCTTGTCACATTTATTTTTAGCACCTTTTTCTTAACAATCCTGAAGCTCTTCCCTCCTGTTATATCTCTCTTTCTCAATCTTTTTCTTTATTGCTCCCACACAACTATACCAAGTTTTATTGTCTTTCTTCCCTGAGCCTCCTCTTCCTTCTTTTGTACTTTTTAGCCCCGTGTGTGTGTGTACATCTTGTTTTCTAACTAAAATAAAATTTAATGAAAAATTTGACACTTATGATGTACACAATTCATTGTTTTTTTTCTTCTTTTAAATACTTTCATGCTATTATTGTCAAGAGTTTGGTTCAGATTTATTGTCTTTGAGGTTATTTTTAATTCATCTAATCAGTAGTCAAATAGATGCCAGATGTTATCTGTTTTTAGCCGGACTGATTCATTCAATATTTTTAGCCGAACAAAACATCCACGGTAACATTAAGATATAATCACTGGAACTACTGCAGAGCTAAAAGTAGGGCTAAGAAAACAGGAGTCATTGCTGAGCTAGTGCCTTTTTTCATTTAATTTTCTAAAGTATGAATTCAGTTGCATATTACGAGTGTTCAAAGCCTATTCTTATTAATTCTACAAGACATAAGCATCAGCTTGGTTTGAAAATCAGTTATCAAGGACTTTTACTATTACAGACTATTTGACAAAATATTTCAAGCCCTAAAACAAAATTGACTTTGTATCAAGGAACATTTATTACATTTTCAAGGCATGCTAATGTGACTTATCTAATGAAGTGGAAATCTTCTTCTTAATAAATGTAAGAATTTATGTAAATCATGTTTCGAACTCCATTAGCTGAGCTGCAACATGCTTTAATGCTTACCAACTATTAAGAGAAACCAGAAGAAGAATGACAAGATTAACATGAGACTATGTTCATTGATGTTAGCATGTAAATGTTAGAGTTGCTGTGTCTAAATGTTTGTTAAAGAGATCTCAACAATTATTTTTAAACATGTTTCAGGCATTGAGAGCAGAAGAGACAGAGCATCCTCAGTGGTGGTGCATAGCTGCATCTTCGTGATGAACAAATGCCATTTTTACATCTTTGCTCTTACTTCCAAATGAGTACAATATTTTAGCATTTACTGAGCAGCTTTTTTATTTTACTGATTTTGTTAATTTGTCTGATTGTGGTTTTCTTCTCTTTGCAGGACTGGGTTTTCCTCACACGTTTCTGCTTTCTCACAGAGTTTGGTCGGCTGGATTTTAAGTTTCGCTACCCAAAGGTAGGACTGCTAATGCTAGGTTTCGTCTTAGTAAAATATCTGCTTGAAGAAATATTTAGCTTAAAGAAAAACACAATGTTTTCGTAGAAGTTGTCCAAGGACGATAATATTGTAACCAAATCTTGAGACTAAAATCCTGGGCTCTTTTTGAAAATATTTTTTATACATTACATACATAAGTGCATTCAGACACAATTAAAAAAAACAACAAAAAAAACAACTCTTTAAGGGTGAAGAAATTAAGATCTGAAATAGTATTACTTGCTTTTAAAATATAACCATTACTTTTCTTGGTTGTCAAAAGCTCACAATGATATAAAAATATGAGGTGATGCAACACAGTTGCAAAATGTGCTTCTAACTATATTTCTACCAAAACGCGTTGCTGCTCTGACATTTAAAATGATTTTTTTTTGTAGGGAAAATATTTATCCTTTGTTTAACATTCAATCTAATTTATGGTTTTATTGAGAACAATAGTTTTTATTCCAACCTATAAATTTGAGTTTTGTCTTTTAAATTTTGTTGTAATGTCAGTGTTTTTCCACATTAGCTTGGCTTACCACACCATCTAGCAAAGTGAACGTACTTGTCTTCTTTGCCCCCGTTTCTCTTTCCAAAGTATCTTCCACTCAATTAGTTTTCTCATTTTCTCTTTTATTCTATCTCACTTCATTATATTAACCAATATCACAATACTGTTGTATTGACTTCACACCCTCATCTACTTCTCCTTCTCCTTTATTACCAGACTACATCTCTTTTTGCATCTCCTCATTTCCTCTTAATGAATTAACCAATATATCAGCCTCTTCTTGCAGCGCTTTACATGTTTTAGCTTGAGCCAGTTCTGCACTGTTATCACGTCAAATCACCTCTGTGATATCTCTGATCGATGTACCACCCCAGTGTGATCTCTTTCTGTTTCTGTCTCCCTTCTGTGCAGTCGCGCTGCTGTCAGAACATCCTGCTCTACTTTGATGACAGCTCTCAGTGGCCAGCTGTGTACAAGAAGCCAGAGAAGGTGAGGCGCCGACTACCCGCTAGATTACAAGCTAGACTATAAGATAGAATAAAAGAGAAGAATTCATGTCTGTTTGCATCGAAGAAGTAGTGACATTAATTGTAACAATTCAACTTGGACCTAAGGTCTGCAAACTTTCTATCTAGCTGTCAGTTTCTAGCAGAAATTCTCAGTGATATGATGAAAATAGAATGATGTCAATTTGTCTTCCCAGTCGAAGAATTTTCCCTAAGCTTTCATTTAAAAATTGCAATCTCATTACCTGTTTATTTATAGTTTGATAACAAGTGTCTTGATCCATTTTTGCAAAGGCAAATGTTTCTCAAGATTTTTCTTTAAGAAGTTTTAAATGTAGTAACAGACCTATATAGGCTATCTACACAATTTGTTCCCGTTTCTTTAGCTAAAAATACCAAAGATGACACAATGTATCTCCAGCTTAACATAACCTATAGTCAATCCAATTTAATCTGTTTCCATTTTATGGCCATATATTGAAGGATGCATTTTATTTTACGTCTCTTGGTAGATAGTTGCTTTGCTGCAGATAAATAATCATAAAAATGACAAAATATTGAATATTTTAATAACCTATTAATACTTGGTTCCATTAATTGAGGTGCTGATTCACATTTGAGCCAGTCAACTGTAATGAATCATAAGCAACAATAAGTGATCATGGTCCTTAATTGAACTAAACTGCCAATCAGTGACCTTCTCCCAATTTATGTGTCACATTTTGGAGTCTTTTAAACACATCTTCTAATAAAAAACTGCAAGTATATTTCATAAAATTACTTTAAATCATTCTCGAATTGAAGTATGAATGGTTAGTCCATTGCCTGACAAATGGTTCCTTTTCATACCTGAAAATTTTTGGTGTGAAACAACCGAATATGTGGAAGTGAGAGATTATCAGCAACTGTATAAAATGTTTACAGGTTTCTAGCATCATAGTAATTTTTAAAGGCTTCTTAGGTGAAAATTGGCATATAAAAGATGCTCTACTCAAGGATGATGCAACTCTCAAATCCTGTCTGGTCTTTCCTTGATTGGTTCCTTTAAAAAAAAAAGAAACAAATGCTGTTGATTAGTTTGTCCACTTTAATCATCTTGTTTATTTAATTTGCAGCCTTGGCCTGCTGTACTGACTACACAGATAAAAAAGACTGACAAAGTCAAAAATAATAAGAAATATTGATTAAGACATGACAAAACATGACAGTCTTGTTCCTGCATCAGAAAATAAAGAAATTCATAATGATTTGCAAATTTGCACATTACACATTTTATCTTTCTGGCAAAAACAGCGATAAGAAAAAATTCAAAGGTCTATTTTTTTTTCTTTTTTCTTTTCTTTTGAATCTGGGCCAGAGGATTGCTGGTGAAAATGTTAAAAAGGAAAAGTGCGTTAGTTGGTTGGAGTAAATGCGTCAACAATTAACACAGAGATCCCTAGTTCTTTCTGTAGCCTCCACATTCAGCCAGCTCCAGGAAGACAGAGTTGTTTTGAAACCAGATAAAATGAAATCTCTCCTGCATTTCCTGAGTTTGCCTCAAGGCCTTCTCCCCTGGTTACTGAACAGATGTCCAAAACACATGAAATGGTTGCTTTCTAGGAAAAAAAAAGCATTCCTAGTTTCACCCAGGCTGAGTTTCTTGCCCTATTTTTAAGTGCCAGCCCGTAAACCACAGGGGGAGATCTCATTAGTTTCACTTGCATTCTCTTACAATTGTAGTAAGTATTCATTCCCTAATGCTACCATCAATTAACCTTATCTTTTCCAGCTCTAGCTCGATGCTTTATATAAAAGAATGCAATACAATGCCTCAAACTCAGTACCAGAGTTTGTGACTATTATAGCATTAAAATGCTAAATGACTGCAACACAAAAATTAGAAACAATCTTATGCCTTTGCTGCAGAAGTTTAATTTAACGCCTATTTAAGATCTGACGTTTCGATCCTTGCCTTCAAAAGGACAAAGTGGATAGATTTTAAATGTTTTATCCTTCCATTATGGAGCTGCCTTAGATGTAGTACAATCTAGTTTTATTTTTAAATTGATGTTAAATGACTTTCACAGCCAGTGACTCATGATTTACCTATTTCTAAATATCCAGACATTACTAACTTATCCTGTTAAACTTGTTCTTCATTTCATGTTCATGCAATTTGCAAGTTGAATTTCAGAGAAAAATCTCTGCTGAAATGATTCGGCATGTTAAGAATGTTAAAAGAAGAAAGATATGGACATGCATTTCTTTCATTTCAGAGCTCATGTACTGAAGTCATTCAATTGGTCCTGCAATCTTATGCCTTATGTCTCCTGACAGATCTGATGGCATGTTAGATATATCTAGTCACTTACAGAGATCACATCTCTTCACGGATGTGATCTCTGGATCATATCTGTATGAGAAGAGTGACACTGTACCATAGGAACTCTGTATATCCTGCCCTGTGGAGCAGACTATGAGTTATATAAATATATATTTTTTTTGCAAGTGGCACCACTGTTAAGAAATAACAATTTTGTAATGCAAGCACCTGCTTATGTCAATCACAACATTGCAGCATTTTTTGTTATAGCAGTAAACATGATTTATTCCCGTTTCGTTTGCAGACATTTGCAGGAGCAAACACTCCTGTTGTTTACTCTCTACAGAGCAGTTTGGATAAATCTAAAGATCTCAGACATGAACAAATCTATCACTCAGAGATTGATATGTGCATAAACAAGTGTGTTTTGGGTTGAGAAAGCAAATACCAATACAAAAGTATGTATCACCTATTTCTGTATTAATAGGTTAATGCATTTATGGTTAAAGGTTTGCATGCACTACTCATCCACATTGATGCTTTAGAAATACTTTGCCATTATTAATTTATTTCAACTATTATTTTTTTCTTGGTGGTCTAAAAACGCAGCATCCAACTGATTGATTTTTATTGAGAACTAAGACATAAATAATAAAAACAATAAAATACAGTTTGCAGCTGGTCAAATGGACAAGTCGAATACTGTCTCGTGAAAGTTTTATGCTTGTAAAAAAGATAAAGTTTGAGCTATGTGGACACTATGACAAGTGTAATAATGGGAGATGTCAATTTGAAGCTTTTAGTACCCAGTGTCAATTACAGTGTTTGACGCATCGAGCTCAGGGTCTGTTCAATTCCTAGTGGTACTGCTGGATTGTACAAGTGGGTGGGGTATAGACACACAATTAAGTGTTCTTCCAGCAAAATGATCTAAAACACATTTCAAGATTGGCTTTGAAATGGACGAAAGACACTGAATGATGCATCTGAAATAGCCTGACCTCAACCCATTGAAAATGTATGGACTATGTAAATAATGGCTCTCTTAAAAGCAGAGTGGTTAAATATCTTGGCAGATTTGCTCCAGAAACCCGCTGACGGCTACAAGAATTGTGTGCTGTCTCTGCAAATTTTTAAGGGAGTTTAACCAAATAGTATTGCAGGTATATGTGTATATTACATGCATGTATCATTTTGAGTCATCCATATAAATCTATGTAACTTTTTGATTGGACTGCACTTGAATTATTACTCTTAAAATACAAACACCTTTTTACATACCAACACATTGCATTTCAGTGGAAAAAAAAAAAAAGTCTTCTCTCCGAATGCAATAAATTATAACTGAATATGAAGAAGAAAAAAAATGCTGAATTCACATCTTCAAACAGAGATATGTCTGAATGTCAGCTAAATACAGAGTCACAAATGTAATAGCATTTCTACCTGCCAGGACAACAAATCTGCTTGCTCTCCACATATGCCTAAATGTATTTATAGTTTTTTTGTTTTGTTTTGTTTTAATAGCTTTAAATGTGTTTTGTTTTATTTTTGTGTGCACTGACAATAGAACTGCTATGAGAAGGAAGCAGTGCTGAGGCCTGAAAACAACCAGGTCATCAATCTCACTACCCGCTACACCTGGTCAGGATGTGCGGTAAGAACATGCAAACACTCTACATCTGCATTAATACAGTGGAAATGAAATGTTTAAAAACAGAAAAAGAAAAAAAAAACACTGCTATTATCCAGGAGTTGTTCTCTATTATGTACAGTAAGTTAACCTCTGACACTTCTCTTTTATTATGAAACAGTTAAACAGATTTTCACCTTTTCTACCGTATGTCATTTTAGAATGCAAAACGGCATTAAAATATGTAAAATAGGAAAACAATAAACTGAGATGAAGATGGAGAGGAGGTGAGAGTTAATGGTCCATAATGTGTTTTCATAACATTCCACTAATTTAAATATTTCTATTGTTGATCCCAAAAGATCGTTCTGCCTCACAATTTATTTTTTTTTTCTCTCTCTTTTTCAACAACCTTGTTGTTTATTACATTATGAGGTGTGACTGTCAGGGTGATTCGGTTTGGAGATCTTGTTGCAACATTTCAGGCTATATCAAGGTGTGAAATGTGCTTGTATCTTGATATCTGCGGTTCCTGCTCTAGTGTGACAAGCCGGCATGTCTCTGAGGTAAAAATGTGCTGCCCTGTTTGGAATAACAACATCCTCTTTGCATCGCCAGACGCTCTGCATTTCTTTCCCCCTCTCAGGTGGAGGACGACACCAACGAGGAGGTTCTGAGCTGCGTGGGTGGTCGCAGTTTCCGCTCGGTGAGGGAGAGGTGGTGGTACATCGCTCTCAGCAAGTGTGGGGTAAGTAAGTGCCGGCCTCTAACCCTGTTGTAACAAGGTTGGGTTTACTGCCAGGAGGTAGATTCGGTGACGCACAGACTGGGAGGGCTTTTGTGGAAGAAGCCCATCCTTGTATTCACCAAGTTTCTGATCAGAAAAACTACTGTCATTATGTTACGGATGCATAAATCTGACAGCAGATGACACCATAAGAAAACATCTAGTTATATTTTTCAAACTGCCCAGTTTGATTTATATCCATCTGTTTATTTATTTTTTTTTAGCTATGGGCTAAATATGAACTGGACCCTTTAAGTGGTTAATCTTGGGCAACAATATATTCAACTTATCCCAAAGAAGCCTTATGAAACCTTGACCTTTATTTTTGTTCTATTTCCTTATAAATCTTTAATACACTTGAGCTTAGTGCTTGCCCCAGTATATCTGTTTCCATTCAAGCAAACGGCAGCTACATTTTAAACAGTGAAGTTAATCTAAACTGACCAAAAGCAGTCCAGGAAGTGGAACTCCATGGCTTTTAGTGGCTATCTAAATTTCTAACTCTGACAGATGCATGCTTTTAGAAACTGGTGTTCTGTTCATGGGCAGCCATAGCTCAATTAAATATGGCTTACAGTAGTACATTTCTGCTTAAGAATTTTGATACTATTGACTGGTTACAAATCAGTTAAATTCACAGGTTCATCCAGTTACAAAAGAACACATTTAAAATGGTGAATTAGCCTAATTTCACTATGAGGCCAGAACCTGAGCTACTTATAGGAAACAGCAACACGAAATGCAGAGAGCTGCACCATTTATTGATGATGCTATATGGTTAAACAGTGTTGGACAGAGTAAACTTTATAAGGAATAAGGTGAGATTAACCTATGTGGCTGTGCCATATGATTTTATGCAGAAAGGTTTTTCTGCTTTTAACATTATTTCTACTTCATTTCTCATATTTTATGGACTGGGTGGTGAGCCATGTTAGGAGAAATAAATTTCACAAAAAAGGTTGGAGGCAAAGTCACATTTCCACTAAAATGCAGTTACTGTAATGGCTGTGTCAAGTCAAATAGCTGTTATGTAAAGGCCTGTATAACAAAATGTACCCCACCAACTGAGGAAAATGTTTATTTTCTCAGACTGAGGAAGTAGAGAAGGGAGAAGGAGGAAAATGTAAAATGAAAAGATGTAAAAGTATAAGAATTCCTCCTTGATATGTAGGTAAAAACTCTAATCAGAACCAAGTATCATCAGGTAGGGGAGGACAAGATAGCAGCACTATTGTCCAGAAAGAAATCTGCACTGAAATGTATGTAGGAGAAAGTAAGAGTGACACAGAGGGGTTGTCAGTACCTGGTTCAAACTGCAAAATATCAGGAAAATATAAAGTTGAGATGCTATGGGAAAATGTTTGATGGCAGTTACAATTAACCCCCTTTTTTTTTTTTTTTTTTCATTTTTGTTATACGTTTTACCTACTGCTCTAGATGAGCTTGACCATCTTCTCAGCCACTAAAAACAAACATCAGGAATGAGAATCAATGTGATATTTCTTTTTGCTTGGGCTCTAAGGAGTCCGAGTTTCTTGTAACATTTTAGTGCTTGATCAATAGTTCATTTGGCTTTCTGAAGGTCTTTGTTTTTTGCAACTTTTGTTGAATTATTTTTCAATTTCTGTCCAGTTCTCATACCTGACCATTGCAATATATCTTGGAGTTCCTGCATAAAATTGGGGAATATACACAAGAGCAGTACTAAATGAAAAATGATGTCAACCAGATGATTATATTGCATTTCATTTAACCCTTATTTTACCAGGAATTCATTTCAGATAAAGTCTCTGTTTTCCAGGGAGACCTTGCTAAAAGGCACACATTTGTGTACAGTGTACCAAACAATACTTAAAAGGTACAGACAATTAAAACATCATAAAATCACTCAAGTGTAAGCTAAATAAAATCCTAGGGGACGTTCTTACTTAATTATATTATGATTAAAAACTCATAAAATAATTCAAAAAGGATTTAAGATTGTAATTTCAATCTTTATTTCAACTGTTTTAAAAACAGTTTAAAATGTGTGAATTCGAATAGATTGTTGAAGTTTTCTTGAGGGTAGCACCATGGTGCAGTGCAAGAGAAACTTCTGGGCTTATTTGGTCCACTTTGAAGAGAAGCTGATGTGATGAGCGGGTATTGTGTTGACTCCTAACTGCAGACATGATTAGACAAAGCGAATATAAGGGTAACTTGTTCAAGACAGCCTTGTAAATGTTACATGTCAGTGTCTTTGTCTCCTTTGTTTTAGTGAAGGTCATGACAGCCGTGCGTAAAGTTCACAGTGCTGCGTTCTGAAGGTGGCGTTCATGGTAAAATGTAAAGCGCTGTGAAATATTGTATCCAGACAGTGGAGAATCGAGAAAGCTGCTTTCATGAAGATAATGTCTCCATAGGCCAACGCATTCAGGAAGTTGTTTGCGCAAGCTATTTTCCTCACATCTGGCTTCAGGCAGGATTTGTGTCGATATAAAAAGCCAAGGTCAGCTTTGAGCTTTTTCAACAGATGTTCCACATGAGGTGAAAAAGACTGTCATCAATCCATATGCCCAAAAATCTTTTAAGCTTACATTTTATTATTATTTTTTTCTGTCTGATGTCCAAATGTATTTTGTGCACTAAATTTTGAGAAAGAGCTTTTGAGATAGTCATTCATCTTCTTTTGACTCATGAGCAACTTTAGATTGTTGAGGAAAGTTTGAAGGTGATGGAAAACAGTCTGAAGCTCCACAAGAGCCTGATTAATTGAGGCTGCAATAGTATAAAAGGTAGCATCAGGAGCATACAGAAGAAAGTTAACATTTTGTAATCATTTATAAAAAGGATAAATAGAATTAGAGCTAGAATGATCTGTCATTCTAACATTTCTAACAAGCTCTGCCACCTCTCGTATCTTGGGAACTGTTGCTCTTTGTCAGATGTGTCATGTTCAATAAATTAAAATATTAATTCCAGTGTGGATTGTCAGATTAAAAGTACCTTTTGAAATTAACCTTTAAACAGGCATTGAATATAATTTTCATTAAGCCCATATTTCCGTATTAAAAGGTTTTGTTTTAGTCAAATATTACCAGTAAAATCAGCCTGTATGTAATATTTTATTTTGGGAATTGAGTTATGGAAATAAATTAACTTTTCAATAATATTCATACTTATTAAGTGGGTCTATACTACTGAGAATGCTATTTAACATAGCCAAATATTGTATAGTAATAATATTCACACTGATTTACATGTTTTCAATATTACACAGCCTTAATGTGAGAATCATCAGGTTTCATCTGTATTTTGAAGGACTCAAGCAATTAAAATTGACAATAAAACATAAAAAACAAGGGACGTGTGTTCCACAGCAGGAGTACGACTGCTGAAAGAAACAATATCAGCAGGCTTTAAAACAGATCCGAGGAATTAACGACAGCCTCAGGTTAGCACACCTCAGGATTCGAGTTGACGTGCCAGACTTTTGCAGGCTCAAGATGAAATGAGGAGCTTGACAATGCATAGTTCTAAAGGTTAACACCAAGATTTTAAAGTGAACCCTCAAAGTAACTGGTAACCACTGTGGAGATGTAGAGGGTCATGTGTCGCCTGTCCCAGACAGACAGACAGACAGACAGACAGAAAGTCCTCTTCGGTCGATCGTATGGAGAGATTCCATTGAGAAAGAAGAGATCTGAATTTCACAGACTACAGCTGACAGCTGAATCCATGCACCCGATTTCTTGACTAGTTTTGTAAAGTTAGGTTGTCATAAGACGTTATTAGAGATCATGACTTTTCAAAGTTCAGCTGAATATAATTACTCCTTAGCCATTATCTAAGGGCCAATTACTAACAAATAGTAATATCTAACAAACAGTTCAGCAGAGCTGATAATTCATGCACTGCGTAGGTCTTAAAGAAACAGTTTCAGTGGATGTCATCCATCTAATTGCAGGAAGATGTTAAAGTATGTTTATCAAAAACATGACTGGTCCTAAAGTAGAACCCTGAAGGACAACATGAAATGCCATATTTTCAGCTTATTACACTTTAGGAGCAACCTTGTTCATCCTACACCGAACTGTCTGTGTGTAAAACTAATTCTGTTGGAAATGTTTCCAGATTCAATTAGAGAAATGGGGGGAAAAATTGTTTTTCATAACATGCTTTTAATGTCTGGGAGATGTGTGGCTTAAGAAAGAAGCAATTTAATCATAAAATGTTCAGGTCATTGACTAGCTGAGTGAAAGACCAGCTCAAACCAAAGCAAAATGTTGAACAACCTTCAGAAATCTTGAAGATGCAAAATATTGCAGGATATTCTACAATGTCCTCTAGAAGCAAAATGAGAAATGACCCAAGGTTTTTGCTCAGTACCAAAAAGGAATCATTTTCTCTCCTAACATGTTACAACTGATTTTACAACAGATTGTTTATCTGTGTTACTTGACTCTCCTATAAAGCACATCACTTCCTGCAGCAGAGTCCAGAGAATCTTAATGTGCAACAGTGGCTAAACTGCTGAGCACGGCCCCTGATGACTCCTCTGTGGACTATTGATTAGCTTCTGGAAGAACTGTGGATCTTTGTTTTGTTTTTTTTTTTGTTTTTTTTATCTGAGCTAATATTGTGCAGGGAAAAGGCAAAATGGTAGTAAAAGTGTTTGCTGATGTGCATCTGTACCTTGGGTTTTGTGTAGTTTTTCTGGAAATTATTAGCTCAGGTGATGATACATTCTTCATTGTCCAGAAAGCTTTCAGTGAAAGACAGAGTAGGTTTGTGTTTTTATGCTGCTGTTGTTGTTGGGTTCTGTCTATTTATGTTTTTGTGGTCTTATGAAGTTAAAAGTGACATTTCTGCCCATATAACAGTGCGTCTTCTGCTGTCTTATTGTTGCACTGGTGTCATGCACCAGATTGCTCGTGTAATAGAGTGTGAGGACTCATGCCCTTGAATTATTTTTTTGGAAG